GGAGCATGGGTTCGGGGTGGGGTGGGGAAGTGGGTGGGGCCATCGGGGATCCCCCCCCATGGTCCCCTCCTTCAGCTCCCCCCGACCCCTTACTCACCGGCACTGGAGCCCTGGCGCTTAATATGCGGCCTGGCTGGCTGCGTATTCCAGCACCAGGGTGAGGGGCCAACCACGGAGACACTCTGGCAGCCAGAGCATCTCCATGGAGGACCCAGCCTCCACTTGTCTTGGGGCATGGTCTGGGACCGTGCCCTGCTCCGCTTTTTTAAACTTTGATTTTTTTAGACCCCTGGATTTCTTCCCGCGCTGCAAACTTGCAGCGCGGGGAACATTTTTTCGTTCCCGCATGTGCCTGTTGCCCTGCCTCCAAAGGGGGTTGAGAAGGGGCAAGAGGCACATGCGTGCTCCTCTGGATGCGCCCCATGTGTGCATTTGACCTTCTTTGCAGATGACTGTTTGTAATGAAAACAAACAAAATGACAGTAGAGAAGCTTGTTGATAATCGGAAGTTTCTCATTTGGAAATTTTTCCAGTTTGGAAATTATTGCTTTCAGCTGTAAAAATACCAGCCTTTTCCTGTGAAGAAGAAAATCTGAAGTATTTAAAATAAATACTGGGTCTGTTTTGGAAACAGTGAAAAGTATGATCTTGTTTTAAGATCACACTGGGGTTCCATAAATGTTACTTGCATTTGTGGATGAATTATTTCATTAGATCAAGTTAAAGAAACAGAGCTTGTGAATGAGATGTAAAAATGAGGTGTAAAAGCTGAACAGGGATTTTTTTTTTTTGTATGTGGATCCTTTTTTGCACAAAGTAGAAGTGTTATACTAAAGCAACTTAGTTATGTTTATATGCATTGTCTGGACTCTGGGAACTGAACTGCATTCAGAATAGAATTGTTGCACTCAAAGATAACAATCCAGCATTACTACACAAAGGTTGACACACCCCTTTATTTCTTGACTTGGGCAGAAGGCTTTGTCATGACTGCTGCTGTGATTTTGCTTCAAAGGGATACCACCAGCCTTTTGGAACAAGAGATGTTTTATAACAATGTAGATAAAGAATACCTTTGACCTGTCATTCCAGTTTTTTTTTTTTTTTTCTTACAAAGCTGTATGATATTTGTTCATGATACATGCCTCCCTCCACCCTACATGGTACCATTCTGCTGGACAAAAGCAGCAAGCTGGTTTGATATACATTGTATTGCCATCACAAACTTAGTTTTTCTCCCAATAAAAGAGTGTATGTACTAGGCCCCTGACAGACATGAAAGTAAAGGTGCAGTGGGATCTGATGCAGGATCCCAACAGTTGTGCTTTCTGCCATGCCACACATGTACAGCGAGAGGCTTGATTGTGGGAACCTGCGTCAGATCCCATTGTGCCAGTTTGCCAGTGCAGGGGTAGCTCGATCCCAGGTGTCCCTTGCATTGGCAAGTAGCCAGCATGGCTCCCAGCTGGGGGAGTGCACCATATGTTCCCCTGGCTGGGAACTCCAATCAGCTGACAAGAATCCCAGGTGGGGGAATGCATTGTGCATTCTCTGGCTGGAATCTCTGATCAGCTGACAGGGTGTTCCCAGCCTCTGGAGCCTGTGGGAGTCTTGAAAGCCTGGCTCCTTGTACTTCAGAGGCTGTGCACTGGCCATATATTCAATTAAAGACTTGATAGGAACCACCCACAAAGTTATTTTGTATAATAACTTTGTGGCTTATTCCCTGTCTTATCACACCACTAATTAAATGAACATGTGGCTAGCGCATTACTTAAGATGTGATTGACATGAAGCCACATCATCATAGATTGGATGCCGCTTGGGCAAATGTTCACTGGTGCCAGAAGATGCACCAAGAATGTAATG